AGCCCCGGTGCTCGCAGCGTGTCCGTGCCGTGCCCGTGGTGCGGGAGGTGCCGTGGGCAGCGGGACCGGGGCGGGCAGTCTCGGGGGAAGGGGAGCCCGGCGGGTCTGTGGGTGCCTGTACCGCGCCCCAAAGCGTGCGGGCTGCGGGCCGAGCTGCGGGTGGCAAAGGCCGGTGGAAACTCAGCGTTTCCATGAAGACGGGACTTGCTGTAGGTCATGGAAGAGAGGATGGATGGAGGGATGTGGGGCGGGAGGGCTGGCGGGGCTGGAAGGGATGATTCTTYGCTGCTGGCTTTTCACTTTTCCATCTGCTCTCAGATGAGCCGGTCCTGTTTYCAGSAGGTCCAGGAAGGCTGGCTCCCTGCTCCAGGGTGCCTGGGACCCCAGCCCCACAGCCCCCAGCCCCGCTGCCCGCCCCTCCGCCCCTGGGGATGGCTGATGTTTGCGCATTCCTCCGAGGTCTCTTTYCCTCCTGCCGGCAGCTGGTTCCTCCCAGGGCTGCCTTTCCCGAGCCCGGGGCAGCTCGGAGCAGAGCGGGCAGACCCTGCCGCGTCCTGGGGAGGCTGGGTGGGGGTAGGAGCTGCAAGGAGCTGTGCTGTGACCTGGTTTAGGGGTGACAGCAGGACGTGAGGACATCAGGGGGACAAGGGGGCCGGACCCGGCGTTGTCGGGGGAAGGGAAGTGCAGCCCCACGCAATGCTCTGCCCCTGCTGACACCCCGAGAGCTTGGGGTGTCCTTTCCTCAGCAGGGTCCCTGTCCCTGCACACGATGGGGGTGCACAGCGCACGGCAGGGTAGCGCCCTGCCTTCGGTCAGCGGGGGGCAGTGAGATCCCAGCCACAGGACGTTGTGGTTTTGGGAGTGACAGCGAGCCTGCCAGGGAATCCAGATCCCCATGGTGACCCTGGGCTGCTTCCTGGCGCTTCTGGGACCAGTTTGTGGCACTCTGCTCCGCTCCAGACCTTGGCCCTGCTCACCCCGGAGCTCTGACCCGCGGCAGAGTGGGGTGGGGGTGTCGGGGCTCCCCTGCTCCGTCCTCCCGGTGCTCCGGGGCTGCCGGGAAGCAGGAGAAGCGGAGCAGACCCGTCCAGCCGGATTGCGAAAGGGCCGTGCGTGATGGGGCCCTGGGGACAAGGGGAAGGATGGAGCCCTGAAGCCATGGGACTCACCAGACCTTCTCCTGCCCCAACTGCCGGGGACGTGACCCCGCGCTCTCAGGGATGTCCTGGCATGGGACATCAACAGAGAGTGACTGTGTCACCCCGTAACCTTCCCAAGGAAGGATAAACAGAGCGAGCTTCCTCTCCCTCATGCTGGCGGGTTTCCCAGGTCCTCAGCCTCTCGTGCTGCTCTTTTCTGAGTCCTCCCAGTTGTCAGAGCCTGGGATGCTCCATGACCCCGTGCATGCGCCTGAGGCTGCTGCTGAGCGAGCACRTCCCTGAGGGGCCTCCATGGCCTGGCCCTTCCCTGCTGCCATGATTTGGGATCTCATTCATCCCTGTGCTGCAGGGACACCCTGTGCTGATCACAGACACAGACTCACCCAAGGACCTGCTTCACCAGGAGCTGCCCCTTTGTGAGGTGTGTTGGCTGCTCACTGGGATTCTGGGCAGCAGACTGATGTCCCTCTGTGTGCCCAGTGAGTGCTGAACCTGATTTGAACAGTCCTGGGCCCTGAGCACCCCCACCAGCACAGCTGACTGCTCTGGAAGGGGCAGCCCCAGTGCAAAGTGCTTGGGGGAGCAGAGCAATGGTGGGGTCAGGATGGCTTTGTCAAGGGGGACACGACAGCCCCCATAACCGCTGGGACCAGCAATTGCTCAAATGGGAGCAATTTGAGCACAGGCTCCTGCTGTCATGTGGGGCTGTCCCCTGCCCCGAAGGGTCCACACACCCACAGCAACCTCAGCAGCGCAGGGCCGAGGCTGAGGGATGGGGAGAGCCCAGGATTTTGGCTCTGCAGGATGCTCAGACAGCCTGCAACCAGTGCCAGCTGTACTGCGGGCTGGGATGTGGCTCAGGCCCCGTGCACACCCGGCTGGGACATTCCTGAGGTTTYCTGGGCAGTGGCAAGAACCTGGGCTGCTTCCCGACTCCCACGCCCAGCACTCRCTCCAGCCAGGCGTCCTCCAGAGCCCTTTACCCTCGCACTGCAGTTCTGCTGAGTTCTGCACCCACACTCGGGGGCAGCACATCCTGAGTGGCACAGCACAAACCGTGGTCCAGGCAGAGTCTGTTCCTGGCTGCAGGATGGTCAGGATGCTGGGGTGAGCTCCCCATYCCAGTGAAACCTGCCAGCAGAGCGAGCAGCCGGGCAGCGGGAGAGGAGAAAACGCACGGCTTGTGCCTCGGAGAACGGAAAAAGTGATTTGGACAATGAGAGCCCTGTTAGCCTGATGCCCGGGACACGGCCACGGAACGTGTTCCGACGGGGAGGTGGGACAGAAACGGGGAAGGAGCCGTGCTGTGCYGCAGGGAGCTCACCCACCAGCCCCRCARCCCTCTGGGCTGGGCAYRGGAAGGGTTTTGAACTCACAGAGCTGAACAGGGAACATCACTGGGGAATGCTGAGGGGAGGGACAGAGCTGAGGTGCCAGGGAGAAGAAGCGCAGTGGGGACCAGGGATGCTGGARCCTGAGCAGAGCTGAACCAGGACCCAGGAGAAGGCTCACATGGGAATTAATGATTTGCCTCACAAAACCCAAGCACCTTTCTCAGGTGCCACGTTTTGGTCTCTGGGCCATTGTGCTTTGTTCCTCAATGCGCAGGTTTAAATTTTCCTCGTAGTCAAGGATGTAGTCTGCAGGAAGCTGCTGTCCCTGCTCCCATCTCTGTTTGCCCCCATTTCTCTGCAGTCTGTACCGGGAGGGTACTTTTTCCCTCCCCCTGGCACTGTTTTGCTTTGAAAAGCATGTGATCCTCACCAGAAAGCCCACGGAGTGGTGACTTGCCCATGTAACCACATTTTACTTCCAGCAGGTGACCAGTTTTAATCCACTTAGCAGAAGGTGCACTGATTTTGTTGAGTGCTAATTATTCATTAAAAGGTGGTGCGAGATGAATCGAATGCCTTCCAGTCTCAGCCTGTTATATCAACACAGTCACTCCAATTAACTGGACCTGTGATCTCATAAAAGGCCATTCCCGCTTCCTGACACGGGCTATTTCTGCCGGACCGTGGAGATTGGCATTAATTGTGCTGCTGTCCTTCAGGGTCGCACTGACCCCATTGCAAAACTGCCCAGTGCTGCAGCAGAGCATCCTGCTCACTAAGGAAACACGCTCTGAGGTGTGTTACAGTGTGCCAGGACAGCTCTGAGGGTTTCCAGTCCTTTCTCTGGGCAGGGCGATGTCTTCCCAGCGACCCAGGGGCAGAATAAAAAGTTTTGTTACTGCTGTAAGGTGTCAAACTCATCCCTTTGCTGCATTCTTGGCAGTGTGAAGATGGAGCATTCCCATTCCAAACCCAGACCCTCTTTCCTAAGCCGCTGGCAGGGCTGGGGTGGCCCTTGGCATCCGCCCTCCCTTCCTGTAAAAGGTTCAGCAGAGCATTTCCCTGCTGCCTGCCCACAAACACGCGTCCTGCTGGGCTCTGCTGTTCTCACAGTGCCAGAGCAGGCAGCTGAGGCACCGGGAGCTCAGAGCTGGCTGCCACCAGCAGCTCCTGCCTGCCCAGGCCATGTCCCCACCAGCTCTGTAGTGTCTCCTGTGCCCTAGATGTGACAGAGGAGAGAGCCAGACTCTGAGGGAGTTGATGTGCTYCATAGAATTATAGGGTTGGAAAAGATCTCCAGGATCATTGAGTGCAGCCTGTGACCAGGGTAGAGCAGGGCAGAGCGCTGAGTGCCACATCCAGCTGTTCCCACCGCTGTGTCTGGTGTAGACCTGGACCAGCAGTGCCTGATCTTTGTTTTTCCTCCCTCTCTTCCTGAGCATCTCTGCAGGCTCATCCCAATGCTCTCACTCCTCTGATGTGGTGTGTGCCCAAAGGGGCAGGCAGGCAGCAGGGCTGGGCTCTGTGGGGCTGGTGTTGGTGCAGTGGGTGTGGAAAAGGGGCTGGCACTGGGTGCCATCCTGGTTCATCCTTGCCTTGGCCCAGGGGGCATTCCCAGAGGCATTCCTAGAAGAGCAGACCAGTCCCCATCATCTGGAAAAGTAAACCAAGCAGGAATGGGGCTGTTTCCTCAGTGAAAACCCTGCCCTGGAGGCTGAGGGGGAGGTGGAGCAGCCGTGCCAGCCCCCAGCCCTGCGTGGGGTTTTGATTTGTTTTGATTTGTTTTCCTTCCTCTGTGACACTGCAGCTAAACACGGGAATTTTAAATCACGCCGGGAAAGGCAGACCTTGTTCTTTTAAATGTTTTCCATTTGGAGAGCTGTGCGAGTGCAGCAGGGAGGATCTGCGCTCAGGGGGGATGGGGAGTGCAGACATCCTGCTGTGGGGCTGTCCTGGGGGTGTTTTTGGGATCTGCTTTCCCACCCACCATGGGAGGGACTGGCAGGGACAGTGGCGTGAGGCTGCAGTGGTCAAGGAGGTGGCCGTGCTGGTGGTCCTGGGTGAGCATCGGTCCGAGCTTGGCAACCCTGCCCGTGCAGAAATGCTGCTCCTGAGCGACAGGATCCATGGGAATAGCTCACTGGGAAGGGAGGACGGCTCACAGAGAAGGGTTTTCACTATTGTTTGCCGTGGGACTGGWGCAGGAATACCACATCTCCCTCAGGTATTCGGGGAGCCACAAATATTGTCGGAGGAACGGAGGAACGCGGCACAGAGGAATGTGAATGCTCCGACTGCCTCGCTCCTCATGGAGGGCAGGAGCGTGGGCTGGAATCCCCTCAGCCAGCAGACATTCCCTGCTCCTGCTGGATCGAGCTCCTGGCTGCTCCAGCYGGGCTTTCCCTGTGCCCTGAGCCCGTTCCAGCTCCCTGAGCTCTGGCAGCTCATTCACCTCTGCGGGGGTGACGCACACCCCGGTGCCCATCTGCCCTCACCACCCTTCGGATATGACAGGGCAGCGGGGTGGGGGTCAGCAGGGGCTGCTGGCAGAGGGGGACAGGGGACAGGGGCACTGGGCAGGTCCCTGACACTCCTGGGGGTGCAGGGCTGGTGCAGGAGCTGTGCATGGGGCTGGGCAGGGGTTTAACCAGCACGGGGCTGGGCAAGGGTTGGATGGGGGATTGGTGTTCCAGCAGAGCCCCTGCACTCCCTGACCCTGCTGTCCCTGCAGAGCCACGCTGCCATGGGAGGCCACACCACGCGGGCATGGCCGGAGCTGCTGGCACTGCTGGGCAGCGCSTGGCTGTGGGTGGGGAGCGCCCAGCCCACCCTCCCGAGCCCCACGCACACCCCCGTGCCCCAGCTGAGGTTCCGCCTGGCCGGTTACCCCCGCAAGCACAACGAGGGCCGCATCGAGGTCTTCTACAACGACGAGTGGGGCACCATCTGCGACGATGACTTCACGCTGGGCAACGCGCACGTGCTGTGCCGGCACCTCGGCTTCGTGGCGGCCACYGGCTGGGCTCACAGCGCCAAGTATGGCAAAGGAGTCGGTAAGAGAGGGGTGGTGGGCATGGCATTGCCCTGGCACGGCCCTCTGGATTGCCAGGGGTGGGGTGGCTGCAGGTCCGGTGTTTGCAGAGTGCCCAGCAGTGTGTGTGGGCACACATGGGCACATGGGGGGAGCTTTCTGTCTGTCAGAGCAGACCCTCAGGGAGGTGGAGACTCCTCACCTGCAGATCCCAACCCAGGGCTTTGCTCTTGGCATCTCACTGGCCGCAGTTTCGTGCTGCATCTCCTGCTGTAACCTGTGTGCCATGCTCTGTGGGCACCGTCCCCGTTCCCAGGGCATGCTTGACCCCCTGACCCCCAGGCCGTGTCCGGCAGGGCGGATCTGGCTGGACAATGTGAACTGTGCCGGGAGCGAGAAGAGCATCGGGGACTGCAAACACCGGGGCTGGGGGAACAGCGACTGCAGCCACGAGGAAGACGCCGGTGTGGTGTGCAAGGATGAACGCATTGCAGGCTTCAAGGACTCCAATGTCATCGAGGTGAGGAAGCTGCTGGCCAGAGCAGGCAGCTGGTGATGTCCAGGACCTTCCAGAGCACTCTGGGTGTGGGGTGGTCTGTGAAGTGTCCCCCAGGGTGCAGGAAAGCAGCTCTGGCTTTCCAGGCTGYGATCCCTGGAGATGCACCCTGGAGATGCAGAGGGGACATGGGCACTGGGTGCTCTGGATGGAGTTCAGTCCTTGGCTGCCCCGGGCCATGGGATGTGGCCAGCAGAGATGCAGGACTGGCTGTCCCTGTGCCCTGTCTGTGACTGGGACCCCTCCCATGCATCCTTGGAGAATCCCTGGGAATGGGCTGGCAGGAGCTGGGGTGTGGTGTGAGCCAGGGCTGGCCTGATCCCTGCAGACCGAGCAGAGCCACGTGGAGGAGGTCCGGCTGCGGCCGGTGGTGTCCGGGGGGCGGCGGCAGCTGCCGGTGACCGAGGGCATCGTGGAGGTGCGCTACAAGGAYGGCTGGGCACAGATCTGCGACCAGGGCTGGGACAGCCACAACAGCCGCGTGGTCTGCGGCATGATGGGCTTCCCGGCAGAGAAGAAGGTCAACAGAAACTTCTACAAGTGAGTGAGGCCGGCAGGGAGCCCACAGGGTGGGGGGTGGGAGCAGAGCCAGGGGCACAGGGCTGGGGATGGTGCAGAAATGTGGGGTAGTGCTGGGAGGACAGTAGAGGTTGTGCTGTTGGGTGTTGTGGCTCCTAAAATCCCTCCCACGCTGCTGCTCGCCAGTCCAAGCCCCAGCTGGAAATCTGGATGCTCACTAACCAAACTGGGGAACCACGGGGTKCCTGGGGGACTGTGGCTGCCCCCCRCCTCACACACTACAGCAGAGGCTTTCGCTCCCTGGAAGCATCATTCCCCTCTGATGTGAGGTTTCAGCCCCCATCCCAAGGGGAGATTTGCAGCCGGGTCAGTCAGGGATGTTCCAGCAGCACCGTGGTTTGAGTGAGGGGCACGGAGCATTGTGTGTGCCCTGAGCAGGCAGCTCSGGTGTTGCTCTGCAGGCGGCTGAAGCGAGCAGCCAGGACCAAGGGCCGCAGCCCAGGCAGCAGGTAAGGGGCCAGGGCGCCCCATCTGCTGTGCCACGGCAGAGCTGGGCTGGCTGGACCCGCTGGGCTCTGCCATCAGAGCRGATCCCGGCACGAACGGATCCCGATGGAGCAGACCGAGTGCTCTGTAGGACAAACCCCACCCCAGGGGACTGCCTGTGCGTGCTGGGGTGCCCCATTCCCCACGAGAGATGAGCTCTCTCCCAGGCCAGTCATGCTGCAGGCAGAGCATCCCWGTCCTGCACACCAGGCAGGAGTCCTGGCACCCTGCGAGGGGAGCAGGAGGCCTCGGAGCAGAGCCGTCTCTGCTGGCGGATGGGGAAGGAGTAATGTGGAAATGGACTGCTTTCTGCAGAAAGCAGCAGTGGGGACGCTGGGAAGGCTGTGCACCCCTCCATTCCCTGCTGGGTTGGCTGGTCTGGGCACCAGAGCCCGTGCTCAGCAGTGCTGATGGGCACAGCGTGGCAGGTCCTGCCCCAGTGCCACATCTGCTCGGGATCTCTGGCATCCTCTGCCCTCTCGCTCTTGCTGCCTTTCTGCCAGGCCCAGGGGATGGTCTGGCTGCCTTTTCCTCCATCCCTGAATCCTGCTGCTGCATTTTTTGGTGGATACAGTGAGCCAGAGCGCATCCTCTCTGGGCTGTGGCATGGCACCTCTTTTCTGAACCCACTGCCACGATGYTTTGCCCCCAGCACGTGGCCTTGCTTTGGTCCCACCACCTTCCCTGGTGCTGAATGTGCCCTGCACCCACTGTGAGCTCTTCATTGTGACCCTTCCAGGTCCGTGTCCCCAACAGTCATCTTTGGTGATGGGAATTCAGGCAGGGTCATCCCGTGAGGTCTTCTGAACCTCCACCTGCAGGTCCTGTTTGCTGCAATGTGCTGTTTCCTGGCTGGTTTGGTGCCGACTGAGCAGGTCCTTCCCCTGCAGCACTGTGGGAAATGTTTTGTGYCTCCATGAGGCTGCAGTCCTGTCCCTGTGCCCCGAGCAGGAATTGGCCCCTGAGAGCCACACGCTGCTTTGTAGGGGCTGATCAATTTGGGGCTGCACAGCCACAGTCATACATGGGCCCAATATCCAGGCTGGAAAGGATCTCTGGGAGTCCTGGTCCAACTCCCTGTGTGGAGCAGAGCCAGCTGTGGGTTAACCCAGGATTTCATCCAGCTGGCTTGTGAAACCTTCCGAGGATGGAAATTCTGCAGCCCTGTGGTCTCTGCTCCAATGTGGAACAGCCCTCGTGGGCAGGTTTTCCTGACCCTGAAACTGAACCTTGAGTCGTCAGTCACACCTCTTTTCTCTTGTGCTCTTCCCTCTGTGCTGGAAGAGCCRGGATCCTCAGAGCTCCCACCTCAGCCCTGGCTGGAGCAGCCTCACACCCTCTGTTCCTCCCACACCACTGCTCTCCCTGGGCTGGCACCACATACATGACATCTTCTTGTCCTGGGTACCCAGATCTGGGTGCAGGATCCAGATGTGGTTTCCTGAGTGTGAACGGGCACTGATGCCTCTGGCTGTCTGAATCCCAGCCCTGTGCAGTGTCCTGGGGTTTGCTGGGCTGTGCAGGCTCCCACCAAGCTGTTTTGGCCTGTGGGGTCAGTGGCCAGCCTTGTCCCTGGGGCTGTCTGCCCTCCTCTGGGCCACTCTGCTCTTCACTCCTTGCCGACCCCAAGGTTTTGGCTCTGCTCCATGAGCAAAGCAAAGCGTTTGAGGATGTTGGGATTGCACCTACACTGATTTGTGCAGCCTCCTCTTCCCCTCAGCWGTGCCAGGGCTGCCCCCATCGCTGGCAGTTGGTCCTTGCCAGCCTGCAGTGAGCCCCCCATGCCCTGTGGCCCCAGAGCAAGCACCCTGAGGTTGCCTGTGCCGCTTGCTTGGTGCTGCTTGCCGGGTGTCCTGTGCCTTGAGGACAGTCTGGATGAGGACACGGACACACCTCACACCCATCCGATCAAATCGTGGCTGCTGGTGTTTGATCTTTTGCTGTGTGATGAGGCAGAGCAGGATGTGGCTGCATCCAGCAGTTTCCCAGTGGGATGCGTGCAGGAAACTGCATCACTGCTGGGGAGCGTGGCTGTGTCACGCTGCTGGTGGCAGATGATGCTGGTGCATCCCTGTGTGGCACGAAGGGGATGCACATGAATCCTCCTGGGGGTTGAGATGCCCCTTTCAGCCTCCTGGGGAGCCAGGGCAGGCTGTGCTTGCTGTGTCACTGCTGCAGGCAGAGGTGACAGCCTGAGGACCGAGGCTCTGTGATGGTTGTTTTCTGTTTTCCAGGCTGGCCTCCAAATCTCAGCCTAAACAAAAGCGCAGGGAGGACKTAGGGCCCAAGAAGAGGTAAATGGCTCCGGAGGAGAGCCAGAGACAGGAGCTCCATGCAGTGTCACYGGAGCTRTGCATGTCCCCCTGCTRCTGGGGATGTGTGACAGGAACCTGRCAGGCACCGTGTGTCACTCTGGGGACAGGGCAAGGGGCAYGGGCAGTGTGTGCAGCCACAGGCAGGGTGGCTGGTGACACTCCACTGCCACTGGCCGTGCTGGCCRTGGCTCAGGGCTCCTCTYCYCTYRCAGGCTCTTCACGGAGCGGCAGCAGCTCAACTACCGCCTGCACTCGGTGTCCTGCACGGGGACAGAGGTGCACCTTTCCATGTGCTCCTTCGAGTTCTACCGGGGCAACGCCTCGGCCGCCTGCGGGGCCGGCATGCCCGCCGTGGTCAGCTGYGTGCCCGGGCCCCTTTTTGCCACTGGCAATTCCCACAAGAAGAAACAGCGCCAGCAGCAGCAGCAGCAGGGCCAGGTGAGCCCTGTGGGGACCGGGACTGGTCCATTGGTGGCCAGCAGCCGGACAGTGGCCCCGGGCTGTACAATATGGGGGCTCCTGAGTGACCAGCCGCAGAGCAGGAGGTGGGGACAGTGTCTGTGGYCAGCACTGTGTGGTGCCATGCTGTGTGGTGCCACACCCTGCCATTCCACACCATCCCACACCCATCCCCATTCCTACAGCCCCGGATCCGGCTGAAGGGCGGTGCAAAGATCGGCGAGGGTCGTGTCGAGGTGCTCAGGAGCAGCGAGTGGGGCACCATCTGTGACGACCGCTGGAACCTGCAGTCAGCCAGCGTGGTGTGCCGCGAGCTGGGCTTTGGCAGCGCCAARGAGGCCCTCACCGGGGCACGCATGGGCCAAGGTGAGCATGCCAGGGCACAGTCTGGGCTGTGCTGGGCTTGTTCCATGGGCACTGGGCTGCTGGATGCACATGGAGCATCCCAAGGGAACCGTGGCCATGCAAGCAGCATCCCCAGGCAGCAGCTGTGGAGGCTGGAGTGTCCAGTTCCCTCTGAGAAAAGAGGGCCGCCGTGGGGACAGGGTGGCCCTGGGCATTTCTGGCAGCCGTGGGGACAGGGTGGCCCTGGGCATCCCCGTGTCACAGGGCCCTGAGTCCTGCTGTCCCCTGGCAGGGACGGGGCCCATCCACCTGAACGAGGTGCAGTGCCGGGGCACCGAGAAGTCCCTCTGGAGCTGCCCCTTCAGGAACATCACCCAGGAGGACTGCAAGCACTCRGAGGACGCGGCCGTCCGCTGCAACATCCCCTACATGGGCTACGAGAACCTGGTGCGTGCCACGGGGGAATGCCAGTGGTGGGGACCCAGGGTKGGGTGCTGGGGGACCCACAGGACCCTCATCTCTTCTCTGCACCCCACACATTTTCCCCTGCTCTGGGGCAAGCGCTGCCCTGGGGGCTCAGGGATTTTGTGGGTGGGAGTTTCAGCTGTGAGGAGTGGTGTGGAGGGGATGCTGTAGGGGCTCTGGGTGCTTTGCAGGTGCCCCTCTGTGATGGGAGGTGTGGGGCAGCTGCTCCCTGCTGCTTTCCCTGCTGCCAGCCTKTGCCCGCTCCCTAGCAGAAGCACCAGAAAAACACTGTGGGCCAACCAAGAGAGATTTTTTTACCTGTGAGGAAACAAGCAAATGGAGCCACTTGTTCCTGTTTGCCCTTGCCCATTGTTTCATCCACTTTGAGCTTTTTAAATSATCTTTAACTCTCTCACACCTGTCATTTCTGAAATGATGCCATTTCGAAATGAACTGTTTTCCCTGTTCTCAATGGGGAGACGACTCCCAAACTCATGAGCGATTTCTTCTCCCCAAATCCACCAGTTTTGGAGAGTTTCCTGCTGACTAAAGCTGCGCTTGGCTCTGCTCAGTTCCTGCTTCCCCTTTGCCCTGTGTGGGCACCGCAGCACGGCCCTGGCTGTGCCAGGACTGGGGACAACTGTCCTGCGGTGCGGGGGGAGCATCACCTGCCATGGTGATGATGCTGCCACTGCCTTTCTCCGCAGATTCGGCTGAGCGGGGGCCGGAGCCGCTTCGAGGGGCGGGTCGAGGTGGCGGTGGGGGCTGGCGACGGGGAGCAGCCCCGCTGGGGTCTGGTGTGCGGCGAAGGCTGGGGTACRCTCGAGGCCATGGTGGCCTGTCGCCAGCTGGGTCTGGGATTCGCTAACCACGGCTTACAAGTAGGTGCTGCCACCAGCTTGGCCAGGGCAGCAGCAGCCACCACCACTGCTCACGGGGCTGGGGACAGCACGGACGGGGCTGGGGACAGCACGGACAGGGCTGGGGATGGGGCAGGAGGTGGCACAGCGCGGGGTGACCGCTCACGGCCCCAGGGCTTCCCCGCAGATCCGCCTGGCCGGCGGGAGGACGGAGTTTGAGGGCCGCGTGGAGGTGAAGCGAGGCAGTAAGTGGGGCACGGTCTGCAGCGACGGCTGGACCACCAAGGAGGCCATGGTGGCMTGTCGTCAGCTCGGACTGGGCTACTCTCTGCATGCAGTGACGGTAGGTGCCAGCGGGGAGGGCCCCGGTGACGCCCTGGTGACAAAGGCACCGGCCGGCACTTCCCGAATGACCGTGGGGCTGCATGGGGGATGGATGGGGACAGAAAGACGTGGCTGCTCCGTGCCACAGGACAGGACCCTTGTGGGCAGCCAGGGGCGTGGGCAGCTGTGGTGGGGGCCTGGCTGCAGCCTGGGCACGAGCAAACTGGGGTAACGTGGCCACCAGTCCTGCCACCCACCCCACCTCACCCCTTCCCAGGAGACRTGGTACTGGGACGCCAGCAACGTGACAGAGATGGTCATGAGCGGCGTGAAGTGCGCCGGCCACGAGATGTCCCTGAGCCACTGCCAGCACCACGGTGCCAGCCTGAGCTGCAGGAACACGGGCACGCGCTTCGCTGCGGGCGTCATCTGCTCCGAGAGTGAGCGGCCACGGGGCTGCGGGCAGTGGGG